ATTGTAACGTGGCGTCAGGACGACACGTTACAGAAGCCCCGCACCTCCGCGCGCTGCCGGCAGCACGGCAGTGCCTCCAGCCTCCATCTCCAAAGAGTTCGTAGGTCCGTGGTTGGGAGGAGGGAACGGGGGAAAGTAGTGGACTGGCGGCGGAGGCACGTAGCCCTTTTGGGTTGAGAGCCCGCAAGCAAGGGGTGCTCAACCGCCAGGACGCACTGCCGGTACCCCGGGAACTTTGATCGGCTACGGTTTGCGGGTCCGCGGGGAGGGCGCCGGAGAGGAGATTTGTTTTGATTTTTGACTTACCGCAAAGAGCGGTAGGTAGGATAAAAAGAGTGTGTCGCGGGGAGTCCGCGTGTAAGGACACGGGTATCCGGCGGACCGCGAAAAAGAAGTCCTTCTTTCATGCTCGGGCGATAGCGGAGCTATCGGATAATCGCGGATTGCGATTATCGGGATCTCTCGCAGAGAACCATGGCTCCCGGGTTTGTTGGAATAGTCTAGTGCCAGTGCGTGGCCGAGTGTGTGAAATTCTGAGTGTTTGATGTACACCCTCGTGGAGCCGGGATGCGGCACCACGGGGATAGGCGGAAGGGACACGGCCACCACGATTTGGATTTGGTACGGGACTGACGGGACAGCCAGTTCTCGGTAAGTACCGTATGTGCGCTATCGCTATTACAGTCGTCACTGTAAACCGGACCATGCAAGTGCCTGCGGTTTCTTTCAATTACATTACCATTAGGCAGTTGCACTTCATAAGATCTCGGCCTATCGCAGATCTTGGTCACTCTAGCTGGGACCATCGGTTTATTTAATTCTTCGGTAGGGACTTTGCGCGCCTATCCGTTGACTCCAAAATTCTCTCTCGTCGCCCCCATGTTCCCCTCTACCATTTTCAGTGCGCTGAGGCTGAGCTGCCGGGAAACCTGAAAACGGCCGTGGTGAGGGATGGTGGCGCGGGAAAGCCGCACCTGGCGCCCAACAATTAGATCTTCGGATCTTTTCTTTGATAACAGGACGTTGGGAGCAGCCACGGGATTATTTGTAGGCGACGCCGATGAACGGTACACGTCACAACATACACTTTGTCGTTTATATTTACAGGTTTTAGATTGTGCGCATTTCTATCGTAATATTCCTTTTGACGCAACTGTCTATCTATTAATTTTTCTTTAATCTCTCTATTCTCTTTTTCTCTTTCAAAATTTTTATTATTGGGTAAAATTCCGCGAATTTTCCTACCAAACATTATTTCATTAGGTGATTTTAATCCCTCGCCTATTGGAGTGTTTCTGTACTCTAGCATTGCAAGATTTGGATCTTTACCTGGATCGTCATCAAGTTTTTTAAACATTCTTTTAATGGTGGCAATGTGCCTTTCAACCATCCCATTTGATTGGGAGTACTTTGTACTTGACGTTTTCAAAGTGAAGTTCCAATCTGCAGCAAACTTTGACATTTCTGCGCTGTTCAATTGTGTACCCGGATCTGAGTACATTACATACGGTACGCCATGTCTAGCAAATTGCGATTTTAACACACTAATTACAGAGCAGCTGGACATGTCTCGCAATTTCGCTACCTCTACGTATTTGCTGAAATAATCGATAATGAACAAAAACGAGAATCCCTGGTAGTAGAATATGTCTACACCTAACGTTTCCCAGGGTCCGTCTGGAACTTCTCTATTTATTAGAGTTTCTTGTACGTTGCCTTTTCTGTACTTATTGCAGATTGCGCAGTTATCCACAACGTCGTCAATTTCTTTATTCATCAAAGGCCAAAACAGAATTTCGCGCGCTCTGTTTTTACACTTTTCTTTGCCTAGATGATTAAAATGAATTAAGTTTAACATTTCTTTTCTTAAACTTTTAGGCATGACTAGTCTGTTACCTTTAAATACTAGGCCATCTATGATACTTAACTCCTTAGAATAATTATAATACTGTTTAACAGTGCTCGCAACCTGACTCTTAGTGGTAGGCCAGCCTTCTTGTATATATTTGATTAGCAGTTGCATTTCTTCATCAGCCTCCGTTTCTTTTATAAACTGATCTTTTTTATCTAAAGAAATGGGAAAGCTTTCCATAACTAAACAGACTTGTGTTTCGATCTCTTTTTCTAGATCTAATTTTTCACAGTTACTATATGCTCTCCATAATGCATCTGCTAAAAATAATTCTTAACCAGGTTTGTATTTTACAGTTAAATTGTATCTTTTTAACCTTAATCTTATACTTTGTAGCCTAGCAGGGCAATCATTAATACATTTTTTTAAATTTGCCTCAAGCGGCTTATGATCTGACTCTACTAAAATTTCTTTACCATAAATTTGTTGATCAAATTTTATGCAACCAAATGCTATAGCTAACACTTCTTTCTCGATTTGAGCGTATCTTTGTTCAGTTTGAGTCAACGCTTTGCTTGCATACGCTACTGGCAAGCCATTCTGTAGTAGTACAGCTCCAAGACCACTTTTCGATGCGTCTACGCTTAAAACTACAGGTTCATTTACATCATAATATTGCAAAACAGGCGCTTTACATAAGATCTCTTTTAATTCTGTGAACGCTTTATTCGCATTTTCGTCCCAATTCCATTGTACATTTTTCTTTGTTAGTTCTCTTAACACAGCATTTTTGGTTGCTAAACTAGGGATAAATCTCGATACGTACGTAATCATACCAAGAAAAGTTTCTAGTTCTTTTTTATCCTTTGGAGGCTTCATATCGACAATTGACTTTACTCTATCAGTATCAAGTTTTATACCTTGTTCAGTAAACACATGACCCATATATTTAACTTCTGAACTACTAATTTTACATTTATCAAACTTAAATTTTACATTTCTTTGTTCTGCTCTTTCCAGAACTTTTTCTAGTCTTAAATCATGTTCTTTTTGATTTCTACCTCTTACTCTGACATCATCAACATAAATATCAACGCCTTCTATATTACCAAAGATTTCCTCGAAGCAATCCTGAAATACTTCAGTAGCAGAATTTATGCCGAATGGCATTCTCAAGTACCTATATCTACCAAAGGGCGTGATGATTGTCATCATATAGCTGCTTCTTTCAGACAGTTTTATTTGGTGAAGGGCTCTATCTGCGTCAAGTACGCTAAAAACTTTACTACCTGCTATATCGGAACTTAATTCATCAAAAGTAGGTATTTTTCTGTGATATCTTTTAACAAACTTATTAAATTCTGTTGGGTCTATACAAATTCTAATCTGCCCATTTTTCTTTTTACTTATTACTATTGGGTGAACCCAGTCAGTTGGTTCAGTAACCTTTTTAATTATACCGTCTTTTTCCATTTTGTCTAATTCTTTTTTTACTTGATCATTTAATGCTATCGGTATTTTTCTGCATGCAGCAATAGTAGGTTTAGCGTCCTCTTTTAATTGAATGTCATATTCAAAATTAGTTACGCATCCAATGCCTTCAAAGACTTTTTTGTGTTTATTTAAAATTTTTTCTACTGTTAAATTATTACTGTTTTCACTTGCTTTAATATTGTGTACCCTTTGCACAGTATTGAGTTGCATCAGACTAGGTAAGCCTATTATCACTGGCTGATCATCCGTATTTTCAGTTACTACAAATTCTAAGTCTACATTTTCTCTGTTTACAAATTTACAGTTTAACCTACATTTGCCAACTACGTTTATTCTTTGGCCACCATATGCTGTTAATTTTACGTTAGTTTTCTCTATTTTAACATTTTTCAATTTTAAATTCTTTAACTTATAACTCGGTAACACATTGCATCGCGTGCCTGAGTCTAGTTTTACTTCAATTTTACGCGAATTATTTACTGTAGTATTCTCCATCCAATCAAACTCATTGTTACTACTATTTAAACTACCGACATATAAAGAATCTACTTTATCATCGCGATGCTCTGAACTGTTTTTGCTTCTACACATTTTCGCAAAATGATTTTTCCGCTTACATATATTGCATTCTTTACCGTACGCCGGGCATTGACGATACGTATGCTGACGGCCGCATCGCTGGCAAGATGTCCGCTGTTGGTTGGACGAAGATGGCGAACTTCTCCCTGCGCCACCACTTGCCTTGCTGCCTGCGCCGCTGCTTCGCGCCTTGTCGCTTCCGCCGCTGTTGTTGCCGCGCGCGCCGCTCGAAGTCTGCTTCCGAGAATTTCCGGTCGCCGCGTGCTTTTCAGATTTCTTGACCGCGTGAACTTTGGCTTCATCGCCGATCGTCTTTGTTTGAATCTCTGTCAGCTCTACCGCTCGGCAGATTTTTATGCACTTTTCTAGATTTAAATCTTCTTCACGTAGTAGGCAATTTTTTAGTTCTGTGTCACGTATTCCACACACGATTCTGTCTTTTATTAGTCCATCTCGAAGGTGATCAAATCCACACGTCGCACTTAACTTTTTTAAATCCGTTAAATAATTCGTGAAATTTTCATCGCTCTGTTGCACGCGCGTGAAAAACACATGTCTTTCTACAGTTTCGTTTGCTTTCGGCGTGCAGTAATTCTCAAATGCCGCCGCTACTGCGTCGAACTTCTTTTTATCATCTGCACTTAGATTGAAAGTATTGTACTTTTCCAGTGCCTCTTCTCCTATCGTATGTAAGAAAACGGCGATTCTTCTCGCCTCTGGCTTTGTATCTAATTCAGTGGCTTCCATGTACAAGTCAAACCTTTGTTTCCATTTGAGCCAATTTTCTTTAACATTGCCGTCGAACGACAACGGTGGTGGTGCCTTCATCGAGGTTTCCATAATATCGAAATTCTCTACTAACGAGTTTGCGTCCGTATAATTACTTTCCGTGTCCCCGCTTGTTGTCGACTCGTCCTGCGACTTCTCTTCAAGCGCGTGTTCGGGCACGTTTCCCGGAACTGACTTTCCGTTTGTCTCCAGCTTGACACTTTACATGTGTTCTCGTCGACGATACTCTTACTGGTATTCGACGAGAATCCACTTTTACACTGTTTGTCATATTTTAACTAATTATCGTATTTTACGATAATCACGAACGACGAGAATCTTAAACACCGTTCCCGCCGAGACTACCGACTGCGCCATGTTATGTTGTGTAAGTTCCATAAATAAATACTCGTGCCGTTAAGACTTAGTATGACTTTATTAATATAATTGCGGGGTGCCGGAGACCGGACGTGTGTGAGCCCATGAGGCGCTCAGGCTAGACTATTTTAGTCGGGAGGGGAGGCAGCCGCGTGAGTGCGTGAGTAGTGCTGCCAACCCTAGATCGCTAACATATCATCACAGGTACATACGTCTCGAGGGAACGTTATACAACGGAGCAGTTATCTTCATCAAGTTGAGGAATCCTTCGTTTTCAACAACGGAGAGAAGGCAATTGTCGGTAGCAAGTATAAATAGTATCTCGTTAGTGATATTGTCAGCAGTTGTCCCACCAGCTGTTGACAAAAAATAATACAAAAACTCTCACATCGAAAAGTATTGATAAACAGATATGTAGCACTTTACCTGTAAATGAATGCACTCGCTGAGAAGCTGTGTCGATTTTACCATCTCTGCTGTTTTCCTAAGTTTAAAGAGTTGCAATTTTTATCATAAATATGGTTGACTCTCAAGTATATAATTTTGGAAAAGATGTTTGTAGTAAATTTACATTGCTCCTTCGCATTTCCACTTCTATTGGAGCAGGTTTGTCTTCATTCTCTGCTCTCCATTTTTTGTTTGATGTACTTTTGAAATTCAAAATACCTTTTTGCTCTTTGCCTGTGGACACACCTGGAGGCAGAGGGTATTTTCGATCTAGATGTTGTTTGAAGTTCGGCGTGTTGCCACCATGTTTCAAAACGTTCGTGCAAATTTTGCATCGTGCACTAATGAAATTAACTTTAGTAAAGCTATCCCACACCTGACTTTTAGGTTTAGAGTGACAGTTCTGGAACACACCGTCCCTATAATATAAAGATTAATATTATCATCTACGTAAAACTTCTTTTTATGCAATTTTAGGTGTACCTACGGATGTGTGTCGGGTTTTGGAAGTTCAGGATGGACTTTGTACGTCGAAGCTGGCACTGACAATGAAATTGACGATGAAATGCCGGCAACTGAAGCTGAACCCGACGACGAAGTTGTGCTACTGGCCCGCGTAGCTGAGACTGACGACGAAATGTTAGGCAATGAGACTGAAACCGACGATGGAATTTTAGCTAAAACAACTGAAACTGGTGACGACAGCGTATTCGATGATGGGGTTGAGACTGGTAACAAAGGTGCTAAACATTAAAGTGAAATAGGGTGTATTAAAATTATAAATAGATGAATGGTAAATTGTAGTATATACTGTTATGCCCTAAGCGTTACTTAGTTATTTACTAGGTTAGCATTCTTAGTACCACACTTTAAGTAACCCTTTGTCAGCAAAATTGTACGAAGGCGTAGAAGCTCTTCATTATTTTGTTCGCAACAAAAAGTCAATCGTCGAACTCTAGGCTCCGAGTGAGCATCGTCTGCTCATCAAAGAAAAATAGAATAAAATTGTGCCATTGTTAACGAAACAGAGATACAATGAAAATAGTTTGTTTTTGCTATTTTATTATTATTAAAAGTGCTGATGATTATTTTATAACATCTTCACGGCATAACAATCCCCCAAAAAAAACTTACGTGTAAAAAACTACGCCAAGTACAGGAGTGCTGTGTATTCCTCTAATAAAAAGCATTGGTATCAGATTATGGAGGCCAAGTACATAAGTCAACTACATGTTTGCCTATTATATGATCTAGCACTGGCCCATCATTTTAATTGTATTTTCAAAATTTCTTATAACGTTTTCACTACTCTTACTACTGCTTCCCGTAGTTGATTATGATTTAATGGTCATTTAATAATTAATAAAACTTTAGGTAATTCCTTATCGAGTACTACTTCGCGGGTCCGTGCCAGGAATTCCAAAGTACTTACTTTGAACGTACTAATAGTATCCTAAAACTATATCTGTGTTATTAAGCTTTAGATTATTTTATAACATCTTCACGGCATAACAATCCCCCAAAAAAAACTTACGTGTAAAAAACTACGCCAAGTACAGGAGTGCTGTGTATTCCTCTAACAAAAAGTATTGATATCAGATTATGGAGGCCAAGTACATAAGTCACTACATGTTTGCCTATTATATGATCTAGCACTGGCCCATCATTTTAATTGTATTTTCAAAATTTCTTATAACGTTTTCACTACTCTTACTACTGCTTCCCGTAGTTGATTATGATTTAATGGTCATTTAATAATTAATAAAACTTTAGGTAATTCCTTATCGAGTACTACTTGGCGCGTTCGTGCATTTCTTGACATAAATTTGTGTTCATTATGCCAGTCATCAAACTCAAAACCAATGTCACCTTTCTATATACAGCTTATTCACAATAACTCGTCAAAAATAATCACGGTTAAAGCTTAATAACACAGATATAGTTTTAGGATACTATTAGTACGTTCAAAGTAAGTACTTTGGAATTCCTGGCACGGACCCGCGAAGTAGTACTCGATAAGGAATTACCTAAAGTTTTATTAATTATTAAATGACCATTAAATCATAATCAACTACGGGAAGCAGTAGTAAGAGTAGTGAAAACGTTATAAGAAATTTTGGAAATACAATTAAAATGATGGGCCAGTGCTAGATCATATAATAGGCAAACATGTAGTGACTTATGTACTTGGCCTCCATAATCTGATATCAATACTTTTTGTTAGAGGAATACACAGCACTCCTGTACTTGGCGTAATTTTTTACACGTAAGTGTTTTTTGGGGGGATATGGACTACGCGATTCCTACTTCAAATCCTTTAAAAAACTAACCGTTCAAATAAACAAACAGGAAATGAGGTGACGGCTAATCACTCTCCTTTTCTAATGCTTCTGTTAGCTATCAATGTTCTTTATACTTTCGTACTTCGGCTGCTGATTAGAAACAAAGGGCTTGGCCGCCATCAGTCGCTATCTTTTTCTTTCAGCCGATCATTTTTTCTATGTCTATCCGTAGCCCATACTATACGTCGATGCTATTGACTAATAAACTCTATCAAACGATTGGAGTAAAAAAAAGTTTAAAATATAAAAGTTGGCCGACCAACTTTACACAGGTACCTTTACGAGAAAGTTTTTGCAAATCGGTGCAGTGCATCATTTATGAAACACCTTTATATGGCATATACATACATATACACTGATAGTCGATTAAAAAGCTGCGCGTGAGCACATGTCATCATTTTATATAATACCATCGTTAGAGCGTTTATCGTACTTCTTTCGATGACTATATGTTATGGAAAGATGCAGTGGTGAATACAGAGAAATGCTTTCAGTTATTAACTGACGTTTTTGTTTCTGTTAAGTGCCTTTGAAACTAATTTATTTATGTGATAAAGGAACAGTAATAATGATGGTACGACCTTTTCTTTCTTGCTATGTTTAAATAAAATACATAGCTCTAATGATAACATAACCTGAATTTAAATTACGCTATCAGCCGGGTATTTTGAAAAAATGGTGATGTATAAATTAGGACTTACTAATCGAAATTTGTTTATATTTTAGCAAGACGGAGTTAGACTACGCCAACATTCAGTCAGGCGATCTTCTTATGATATTCTGTATACAAATAAGGCCTTTTCAAAGAAGAAGTACATCAAACAAAATGATACACAACATTTATTTTTTGTGGTCACCTATTTTCTTGCCATATCATTAATAGTTATTGTGCTGGAAAAAAATTTACCAACGCCTCATTTTATTAATACAGAAGCCTCGTTTCCAGGAAGATTTGTTGCAGAAAGAGCTCGAGATCATGTAGTTAATTTAACATCTATTGGTCCTCGAATAACAGGAAGTTATGAAAATGAGATATTGGCTGTGAAGTTCCTTACGACAGTGATAAATGATATTATTAAAGATGCTAGCAGAGATTACAAAATTGTTATGGATATTACAAAACATAGTGGTGCATTTCCTTTAACGTTTCTGGATGGAATGACAAACATTTATAGAAACGTTCAGAATGTTATTGTTAAACTTAGTCCATATAGGCCTTCGAAGCATAGTTTGCTTTTAAACTGTCATTTTGATACGTTTCCAGAAAGCCCTGGCAAGTATAATTTTAATATTAAACCTATATACACGTAAACTTCAATTAAAAATTAATTTTTGTGTTAAATTTCTGTTACTATGAACATTTATTTTGTACCAGATTTAAAAGTCCAATTTTAAAGCAGGAATCAATTTACTCTTATGTTACTAATATATAAGTAATAATTAATTTATTGTTGTTATTATTTCTATCAATATTATAGGTGGTTCTGATGATGGAGCTGGTTGTGCAGTGATGTTGGAAGTATTACGTGTAATGTCTCAGGATGCTAAATTTCTTAAACATAATATTATATTTTTATTTAATGGAGCAGAAGAGAATTTAATGCAGGTAGATGAATTTGATCTATTTAGGGGAGGTAAAACATGCAAATATACATTAAATTGTTTTTTGAACATTTAAATTCATGTAGGCATCTCATGGATTTATAACTCAGCATTCTTGGGCAAAAGAAGTTCGAGCTTTTATAAATCTGGAAGCTTGTGGTGCTGGAGGTCGCGAATTGTTGTTCCAAGCTGGACCAGGAAATGCTTGGATTTTAGAAGTACAAATCTTATATTACATTCATTTAATGGTATAATTAATTCCATTTTAAATATAATTTGTCTTTTCTGTCTCAGATTTATTCACGAACTGTGCCATATCCGTATGCATCATCCTTGGCTCAAGAAATATTTCAAAGTGGCATTGTTCCGGGGGATACGGATTTTCGTATCTTCAGAGATTTTGGCAAAATATCTGGTGAGCTTCTTCTTTTGTTATCTTTTTTACAATGACGTTCCCGGAAACACAAAGTAAGATTTCAACAATGATCCCTATTCAAGGGAAATAGCTGTGAAACACCTGATGTGCACAACTGTTATATCCTTGAGTAGGAAATTATAGCATTGGCGATAGGATATTTACTTTGTGTTTTTTGTGTTACCACTTTTCCAAGTATAAAGAACGAGTTATTTCCATTGGAACCTATATACAAGTGTAGACAAAGTTTCGTTTATACTGATATTTGGTTTTATTCGGACTTTAAAAAAAAAATTAAAATAAACAAGTTGGAAAGAAGAAAACTTAAGTATCAACAATATTTGATTTCAAATAATTAATATAACAAAAACACTTTTATTCTTCAAATCTATCCTTTAAACTAAAATACTATGAATGCTCGTTTCCCTCCTTGGTTTGTTCTTCCCTCATTAGCATTGTTCTTCATTGTTTATTTGATACATTATAAATTATCTACTAGAACTAAACTTTTATTTCCAACACTAAAATCTGAAAATTTTTTGGATGCGTTTTCAATGTAATCTCTTTTAATTGCACAACTGTATGTTTATCTTGAGTGCGATATTTGGGATTAAAACGATGGTCACAATATTAGTTTTATTCTGCACACTAGCGTAGTTTAAATGTAATATTAGAGGGTTGCATAGAAAGCCGATTTTTTTTTCTATTTTTAAAGCATTTATTTCAATAAAAAAAGATGTGAATCAAAGTATTTGCCCTCGGAAGCTATGACTTTTTCCCACTTTTTTGGCAGAGGTTGAATTCCACGGCGAAAGAATTGTTTGTCTTTCGAGCCAATCCATTCAGCAACGCAATTTTCGATTTCCTATAGTCATGAAAATGTGTATCTTCCAAATCGTGTTGCATCGATCGGAAAAGATGATAATCGCTTGGAGCAAGGTTGGGAGAATACGCTGGATGCGGGAGCACCTCCTATTCGAGCTCCATCAGGATTTGTTTCACGGCTTTAGCAACATGTGGCCGAGCGTTGTCGTGCAGAAGAATCACTTTTCGACGATTTGCTGTAATTGTTGGTCGTTTTTGCATCAAATTATCATACAAACGCTCCAGTTGTTGTTGATAATATTCGACGGTGACTGTTTCATTCGGTTTCATCAGCTCGTAATACACGACGCCCTCCATATCCCACCAAATACAGAGCAATGCTTTGTGACTGTGGATGTTTCGCATTGGTGTCGATGTTGCTGATTGGCCAGGATCAACTCATGATTTCTTGCGTTTTGGGTTGTCAAAATAAATCCATCTTTCATCGCTGTTCAGAATACGCTGCAAGAAACTCTTCTTTTTATGTCTTGCAAGCAATGAAATCGCAATGTTTAAATGATTAGTCATGGCATTTTCAGTCAAGTCATGTTGCAGCCATGTCCCTTCTTTTTGAATTTTTCTCATGGCTTGTAAACGTCTTAGAACGGTCGATTTATCGACTCCGAGCTGTTAAGTCGATTCTTTAAGCGTTTGAGCAGAGTTTTCGTCCAACAGAGCTTGCAATTGGTCATCTTCGAACTTTTTTGATGGAACTGTCCGTTGTTTGTCGTGAACGTTACAATCAACAGATTTAAATTGTCGAAACCAATCTCTACATCATACTGTTTCCGATGGAGCAAATTCACCATAAGTTTTCGCAAGCAATCTATGAGCTTCAGCTGCATTTTTTTGCAAATTAAAATAGTGTAGAAGTACACATCGAAAAAAAAAACTTATCGCGTTCCATTTTACTTGTGTTATATAAAAGCACTTTTGTACACATACAATTGCGTGTGATGACTGTATTTTAGTAGAAAATGTTCACGCTTCAAAATGACATAATCGACATCTGCCACTGCCCACAGCATACGCAGCTAGAGGCATCTATACGTAAATAGTGGTTTTCTATGCAACCCCCTAATAGCTAAGCGTGCGTGTGTTTTTAGGAGCTTACATTTGCGTGTGATTCTTTTTTCTTATTTTCCAGTAAAAATAGTTTTTATTTAGTAAGCTGCAAGTATAAGGAGAAGTTGATTATTGATATAATGTAGAATGAAGTGAGAAATGTTTACATTAAAGAATTTACTTGGATAAAATACTGGTATTAAGCTCCACCATTATTTGCGCATTACTATAATAGCATTGACAATTGAAAGTTAAAGATAAACTTGAATTCGGAGATATACAGTAACGTCCAATTGAAGTGCAACACTTGAATTTTTTTACATTTCTGTGAAAGGATGACAGATTTCGAAAAAACAAAGACACATTTTTTAGGAAATTTCCTTCCCGTCCGAATAGTAAAGGTTTTATCCCGATCGGATACAAAATGGCTGAGCGGCAGGGGTTGGAGTGATATAGTGCATTTTGAGACTTTTTGAAAAGTGCGAGAACTAGTAGTTTCGGGAGCAAATTCATATTTCTAATTATGGCACGAGAGAGAGCATTCTTCGGCATTAAAAAAACACCCTCATTGAATCCCTGTAGTATCACTCTAGTATCCTCTTGAAGTGAAAACACTTAATTCGCCATAACTTCTGAAAGCCGCGGCCAATCTGGTCCAGTTTCTGAGTGATATCATCTTTAATAATACTGCAGATTCTCACAAAATTATTTTTCTAGAAGATGATCCCGTGACGGAGATCTCGAGATATTGCAAGTGCATTCGAAGCTTTCCCTCCATTTTTGATTAGAAATGCGGTGAAACAGAAGTTTCGTATTTGTTCCACGTTGTAGCTGAGTTTCAACGATTAGAACGCGCTTTTAAACAGCCAAAAATGAGTTTGCTAAAGGGGTTAAATATTTCATTTGAAAAAACGCCTAAATTTTGCGAGTTCCGCTCGAGGCGCTCGGGGGACAATTGCTTCGCGCGCGTGGTAGGGTAGTAGTCCCACAAGCGCCTCGAGCGAAACTCGTAAAATTTGGGCGTTTTTTCAAACGGAATATTTAACCCCTTAGCAAACTCATTTTTGGATGTTTAAAAGCGCGTTCTAATCGTTGAAATCTTAGTTACAACGTGGAATAAATATGAAACTTCTATTTCATCGCATTCCTAATGAAAAATGGCGGGGAATCTTCGGGTGCCCTTGCGATACCTCGAAATCTCCGTCACGGGATCATCTCCGAGAACTATAATTTTGTGAGAATCTGCAGGATCATTAAAGATGATATCACGCAGAAACTGGACCATATTGGCCAGCGCGTTTGAAAGTTATGGCCAATTAAGTGTTTTCACTTCAAGGGGGTGTAGCACCCCTAGAGTGATCCTACAGGGGTTGAATGAGGGTGTTTTTTAATGCCGAAGGATGCTCTCTCTCGTGCCATAATTAGAAATATGAATTTCCTTCCGAAACTACTAGTTCTCGCACTTTTCAAAAAGTCCCAAAACGCACTATTTCACTCCAACCCCTGCCGTTCAACCATTTTGTCTCCGATCTGAATAAAACCTTTACCATTCGAACGGGAAGGAAATTTCATAAAAAATATGTCTTTGGTTTTTCGAAATCGGTCATAGTTTCAGAAAAATATACAAAAATTCAAGTGTTGTACTTCAATTGGACGTTACTGTATATCACTGTTTAAAACAAAATATCACCAGTTTACAACAAAAAGAAATAACTAAAGGGGCTGATCCATGTGGGACGGCTCGCTATGTCCGGAAGGGACCTAATAAATGTGATCTTGCAAATAGAAAATGGTGGGGGCGGTTGGGAAAAAGGGCAAAAGGAACTCAATCATACGCAAATACTCACTGAAACGCTGCGCAAACTCGATATAATCCAAATTTGTATACACTCAAACTATCCGCACTCTCTTGCAAATCTGAGAATCATACACGCTGTCGCTCGATCGCTATCCTGGCTCGAAGTGAAGTCTTCTGCCGCTTTCCGGTCCTCGTGGGCCTCCAGAGCCTTGTTGATTGGTCGGACCGCTGAATTGAGAGGGCTACGTGCTTCGGCATTGGTCGGTAGTTCGGACATGACAGGACGCCGTCGCCTTTCCTTGGTACAGCCCTAGCGGGCCTTCCAGGGCCTAGCTGTAAGGTGGCACGAGGCTGGCTTCATGAACGGCTAGCCTGCGTGCCGGGCAAAATGAAGGCCTCCACGCCTGTCAAAATCTCCTCCCGGGCACGTCCGCGGTCTCGGAGGGAGAGGGATCCACCGCTGTCACACGGGCCTCTTTACTACCCGTGTGACGGAACTGCATCGGGGCTGCATCTACGTGGTCGGGGTGGCTGGTTTGGCGGGTATCGGGCATGGGTGTCGATCAGCTGTTCACCTGCTCATGCCTTCCCTGTCTTCCGCTGCCTAGGCAACGTAGCCACTCTCAATCCTTCCGGGGATGGCTGTTGGACCTCGGCGATGGTCCTCGATGACTCCAAGCCAGTGTCCTAGGGTAACGACGAGGGGAAGGGAAGGGATCTTAAACTAAATACAATGGGCCTAAAATTCTGAATATATATAATAAATGACAGTAAACAACAATATATCTAATAAGCAACGCTCGTGGCCAAGGCTGCCCTCGAGTCAGGAGGCGGGGAGGAGCCTATGGTAACATTTTTCTTACAACCTATATTAGAATATACAAACTCGATGTTATTTATTTGAACCATGTCTATTTTATTTCGAATTTTTGTTACCCTCTTTTGCTTCTCGTGCAAACTCATAAATTCCAGGACACCCGCCTGAAGTTGTCGCGATCGTAAACGAGTTAAAACTACTTACTATGGAGAAAGATGATTCGTTCGGCAGATGCAATTATTATTACTCGTTATCGATCGTGGCAACTTCAGGGGGCCTATCACGATTCTCCGGTGAGCTTACTCACCTTTCCCGTTCTCATCTCATGAGACTTCGGTCATTCAATCACGGAACAGTCGAGTGAAAATGGGAGATTCCTAGGGCACGTCCGGCTAATGATCTCACATTTTCACGACTTCAAAAAACAAATATGAACGTTACGGAAAAACAGAAGGGTATTTTATTGTAATATATGAAGGAACATAGAGATTTTGCAAGAGGCCGCTTACGTTATAGCAGCGAGAATAATTCACTTTCCAGTATTATAAATGAATTTGAGGCATCCCGTAATCTTCTACGTATTTTTAACATTGTATTTTCACGATTTGGCATAAATAGTATCACCATTAAATTATCTATTTCATTCGTCAATTTCTCCGTCGCTCAAGTAATACTGCTACGAGTACTATCTACGTACGCGTTATTTTCAAGGAAAGCTGCGTCGATTTCAACTTTTCACGTGAAATTTCGTAACAAGTCTCCTCACGCGAGTATTCTCGCATTTTCATGAAGTAAGATTGATCGTAATTGGGTGAGATGCTCAGATTCGTCATTTTCACCCAATCCGAGAACCGTGACCGAGAGCCCCCTGACCTGTCTTTTCTCTCGTCTAAGCTCATCAGTCGTAAATCTGATCTGCTTTTTGCATCCCGTGCAAATTCATTAGATTTTTGTCTAATTTTGTTTCTGTCGGTACAAGCTCTTTTAGGAATTTCACTTTAAACCTATGCTAAATCTTACTATTCTCACCTTTTATATCAAAACCATCTAAATCTTTCCCTGATCCTTGATCACTTGATACCGACTCTTCATCATCTTTTATTTAATCTCTTTGTAAAATCCGTAACTGATCTTGCATTTTTTAATCTTTTTCTGTATTTCCTCTGTTATTTCATTTGCACTCTTCTTTCTCTCTTTCTCTTTGGAATTTTTAAAATTACCCAAAAAATTCTTTGAACCAAAAGAACACTACTAAAATTTTTTTTCCCGCTCGCTCGTGCGTGCTTACTCTAGTGTTGAACGAAAGTATATGAGATGTTGGGGCAGCGGCCTAAGATAGAGCGCCGGCAGTTAGTTTGAAATCACTCTGAATGTTGTCCTTCCTTCCTTCCTTTCCTTATGGCTGTATCCCCAATGGGGGACATGTGCCAGTAACTGGTCCTAATAATCAAGGTTGGAAGTTCGACAATAGATGGCGATGTACCTTGCGAGTCGGGCCTTATTCAACTCAGCGTGAGGGGACCTACAAAGTTTATACACCGAATCCGAACAGTGTTGGGCGAAATCCGTATAAATATTCACTTAAGTTTTCATATGAAAACCCATTGGTGAATGCCGCTGGAAGCTGGGCGCGAACCTCCAACCTTTCGATCGTGATTCCGCTACCCTATCCACTGGGCTACGGCCGCCCTACTCTGAATGTTGTAATATTTAACGACTACGAGGGCATAAACTACATCTATAATCTTGAGAAAGAGGCACGAAATATAATTGTTTTTAATCCAACGGAAAGAAAATTCTTTAAATTTTCAATTCAAATTTACGCATTCCAGGGCAATATTTACTAGAAAATTGTCTCCGTGAAGCTTGAGTATGGGACTGATTCTCCTAAGTGTCACAGATCGAAGGCGATTATCATATCAAGTCTAGCTGAACTATAGATTTTCATGTACAGCTGATCTCGCAGAAATGCTGTTCTGAAATATATGAAAAATATAAAAATAAGAAATTTTGTATACTTCATTTAGTTGTATCCATTACCTGACCTGGATTCCTTCTATAGCTCAACCCTCGATGATAGTTTACAAGTACAAAAGAACTGTAGGGCAAGCATGCTTATATATTATTATACCGTATGTTCCATCCCAAGTAGGACACCTGGGAGCCTATCACGCTTCTCGGATTGGGTGAAGATGATGAATGTTAGCAACTCACCCAATTGCGATCAATCTTACCTCGTGAAAATACGAGACTACTCGCGTGAGGAGACTTGACACGAAATTTCACGTGAAAAGGTGAAATCGACGCAGCTTATCTTGAAAATAACGCGTACGTAGATTGCAGCAGTATTACTTGAGCGACGGAGAAATTAACGAATAAAATGGATAATTTAATGGTGATACTATTTATGCCAAATCGTGAAAATACAATGTTAAGAATACGTCGAAGATTACGAGATGCCTCAAGTTTATAATATACTTACTAATATTTTTTATTCTCGCTGCTATAACGTAAGCAACCTTTTGCAAAATCTTTATGCTCCTTCATATATTGCAATAAAATACCCTTCTGTTTTTCCGTAACGTTCATATTTGTTTTTTTTTCACTGTCAACACTACTTCGAATAATGGCGTCAATGGCGGTGAAGTCGTGAAAATGTGAGATTACTAGCTAGACGAACCCTAGGGATCTCCTATTTTCATTCGACCGTTCCGTGATTGGGTGACTGAAATCACATGAGATGAGAACGTGAAAAGTGAGTAAGCTCACCCGAGAACCATGATAGGGCCCCCTGAAGTTGCCACGATCGATAACGAGTAATAATAATTGCATCTGCCAAACGAATCATCCTTCTGCATGGTAAGTAGTTTTAACTCGTTTTCGATCGCAAAAACTTGAGGTGGGTGTCCTACTTAGGATAGGGCACGGTATATAATAAAAAGACTTAAGTCATACCTTTTCTGGCTTCTCTAAATATCATATAGATTATTTCGACGTTCGACTTGATGTAAACCAAATACATTGAAACCTCTCAAATTTTAAGTAACTTTCAATTTTTAACCTGATGCTCTTAATATTTAACTTCCCCCCTCGAGCTGACCTCTCTCCCACTATGTTGCAATTTCCAGCAATCAGGAATGCAGTGTGCAGACATAAGCGCAGTGGGATTTATTTATACACACCTATGCATGCACAGATATATATTAAATAGGCGGAGCTTAGATTTAGGGAAATCAAGAGTGGGAATTGAAGGGAAACTTAAAATCGAAGAGGTAGCACGGTCTCGAGTGATTAAAAAATAAGAGGCTCCATTGCATTTTGATTCAGGGTTTTTCGCTACTAGTAAACGATTTGCTTTTTACATATGCGTAGATGATACATATATGTATTTATTCATATAAAACACATACAGTTTTTATTAGTTATCTTCTACAATAGCAAAGTGGTGGAGCTTGCTGTCCAGATATATTGGGTGTGTTAAATTCCTTAAACATGATGTAGTAACGAATGATTTAAATAAATGATAGTCAGTCGTGTCATGTTTTACTTAGGAATTATTACTTTCACGCGAACATACGAAGTCTTAATTGCAATTTTTATTTCCTAAGCAGCCTACATTTACAAATAATGTTGTTCGCGCGTATTTTTATTATGAATATAATCAATACAATATTATCTTTAATAAACGAAGTTAACAATTATTTTTAAGAATTCCGTGATATATGAATGTATAGGTTGTCTGAGTGTTAATTACGCGGTGTAAATAGAAAAGATACTGCGTATGTATGGATTACATACGTAAAATTAATGATTTCAAAACATTATGGTATAATAATATTAATGCGTGGTATCAGTTCAATTTTCACGTAGAATCAGAAAATTTAGGGTGGTTGTATTATTTAGTTTTTATCAGTGCATACAGTCCAGTACGGAAAAAAAACTATATAAAACTATAAGAAAAATAACTACTTAAAACTATTAAAGATTCGTCAATATTAAATTGGCGAAATGTTGAGTAAGAACTGTTGAAATAAACTACGAGGTCTGTCCCAAAAGTATCCGACCTACCTCGATTTCTCGACGCTTGATTTATTTTTCGTCATCCGGGGGTGGCATCCTTCAAAGTAGTCCCTATTTGATTGAACAAGACACTCATATCGATGTTTCCACTTATTAAAGCACTCTTGAAAGTCAGATTTCGGAATCGCCTTTAGTGCAATCGTCGCATTCGTTTCAACAGTCTCTTTATCGTCGAATCGATGTCCTTTAAGCGGCATTTTCAATCGAGGAAATAGCCAAAAGTCGCAGGGAGCTATATCGGGACTGTATGGAGGCTGGCGGAGCTGCGCAACACTGTGTTTAAATAAATACTGCTGCACAAGATTTGATGCGTGCGCTGGAGCATTGTCGTGATGAAGAAGCCAGTCACCGGTTTCCCAAATTCTCGGTTAAAATTCGCCAAACAGTACTTTTTGGTATTCCAAGTTCATCTTCCAGTTCTCTCACAGTCGAACGACGATCTTGTTCAACTGCGACACGCACACGCTCGACTTTATCCGACGATGTTCCCGTCAAAGGTCGACCAGAACGAGGGTCACTGTCAACAGATGTGCAGCCACTTTTGAACCGCCTATACCACTCTTTTATTTGTGTTTTGCCCATACACTTATCTTTAAAGGCCTTTTGCAACATTTCAATAGTTTCCGCACAACTTTTACCGAGATTAAAGCAAAATTTTATGCAAATTCGCTGTTCGGTTCGTTCTGCCATTTTTAGCTATTAACGAATTGCGATGAACGCAAAAAAGTCGTTGAAAACAAATACACGCTGCGTGGGAACTAAAGCGTTTTATCGGTATCTTGGGCTACTGACGAGAAGGTTAGGAGTTGCTGGTGACGTTCGTACCCTCCAGAGGTCGCCTGAGTCTCTCCGCGCAAAGATATGAACGTAGGTCGGATACTTTTGGGACAGACCTCGTATACTATTGGAAAAATACCATAATTCTTTTTCTAAGGTATTTTCTGCAGGAATATTGCTGAACAAATCATTTCATATACCTAATACGTATAAAATACAACGTAAGATGTTTTAATTTAAAAGAAAATTAGAAAAATTACATTTTACGTGATTTGTATATTCAGTCTCGTAAACTCGGAGCGGCCACTCATCCATGTATTAGATATATCTCTTGCTGCTGTACTTTAATGATAGTCAAATGCTCAGATCTCTCTAGTAGTATAAGTTGGGGAGTTCTGGATACAGATTCCTGCACCGACATATACCGACACTCCAGAACCTTCGAAGGTGGGTGTCCGTGCTAAGTTGCCGTCGTGAGCTCTACGATTTCTGGAAGTGACGTCATCAGGACCCCCCGATTTCAAGAACTTTCGCTCGATTCCGGGAATTTTGCGTCATATTCCGGGAATTTCGCGCTCGATTCTAGGAATTACGCACGATTGAGAACCTTCTAGAACATTTTGGAAGCTTCGACGGTTCGTGTCCGTGCTAAGTCGGGAAGGATCACTCCCAGAGCCGGCGGTCCTCTCGCGCGTCGTTTTGAGACAGCCCCTTGCCCCCCACCCCGGAAAGACTTCCAGAAGCTTCGACGGACCCGTGCACGTTGGTGCAGGTTTCGGACGTCAGCCCTCAGCCCGTTTGACCTCGAACGTTATCTCGCAGAATTGCGCAGCATCGCTGATGCAGTCCTCCAGGAGTTTTCCAGAACTTTTGTTTCTAACTTCATCGCGCGCGCGCGAGAGAGAGAGAGCGTGAGAGAGAGCGAGAGAGAGAACGAGAGAGAGAGAGCGAGAGAGAGCGAGAGAGAGAGAGAGAGCGAGAGAGAGAGAGCGAGAGAGAGAGAGCGAGAGAGAGAGAGAGAGAGAACCAAGGAGAAAGAGAGACCAGCGATTTCTGGACTTTGGTAGATTTATTAATGGAGGATTGCCCCGTGGCAGGACTTGCCCGTTTGACCCGAGTGAATTAGGTTCAGTATTGATGGATGAAGTTTTAGGTAGGTCAGGGTACGTTCTTTTTTTTTATCTTAATTTACTGTACAGAGCATGAATATTCAAGACATGAGTGATTAGTTCAACTTTATTGTTCGGTTGAGTAACTTTGCGTCCCATGTGAATTTCCTTGGCGAAAATCGTATTAGGGTGAATCAGTGGTAAATTCCAGTCGGGGTAAAGTTTCGTCGTTTCAAGAAAATAGCGGGGAGGGAGAGAGAGAGACGAGCGGCATCCCCTTTGAGCGCAGTGCCGAAAAGCGGTTTCGGCGACTTTTGCGTCGAGGTTGATTCCAGGAAAAACGATACCCTTCCCATGCAGATTTCGGACGGCAGGCGACTCGACCTCGAACGTTATCTCGCAGTGCTCGCGCGTCAGCCTCCTCATCCCACTGAGAGGCTTCAAGAATCCCCCATCCCCGATTCGTCAGCCTCCTCATCCCACTGAGAGGCTTCGTGAATCCCCCATCCCCCGATTCGTCAGCTTCCTCATCCCACTGAGAAGCTTCGCGTATTCCCCATCCCCCAGCCTCGTGCGAGAGCACCGGCGGGTTCAAAGTCATTCTAGAATTATCTATGTATCGGTTGTTCGAATGCGCAATACCGAACGTTATCTCGCAGAGTCGTGCGTCGAGAATGCGGTCCCTCATCCCCCCGAGGTGTCAAATTACTCGTAAGCGCGCGCGCGACGCAACTTCATCGTCGGAGGAGGGCTAAGGAATGTTCCGGAAGATGCATGAACCTTGACATCGAATCCAGGAATCTCTGTAGGCGATTCGATTCCTTGAAATCTGCGAAACCTCCCATCGCCATTTTAGCCCTTGAGAGTTTCCTATAAAAGGAGGAGGTTAACGTACCTTCGTTAGTTTGCTGCAACAATTTGGCTGATACCGAATAAGAGGAAACAACGCAAGTTCGAGTACAGTTACAGTTAAGGAATATCACAGAAGTCAAACCATTGATCGAAGCTAGAAGAGGTCGTAAAAATCTCCTAATAAATTTGAAGAAATTCGCTATTAATTGAACGCAATGGACTTCTCGACAATTAACAAAGTGGCTCG